GTTCGACAGTTCTTTCATCTTCTTCTTCTTCTCTTCTTCTTCTTCTTCTTCTCCTTCTCTTTCTTCTTCTCCTTACTGGTTCGGACTACTATAGCTACAGTAGAAACACATCCCATCACTCCCAGGTCTCTCGGAAGTCAGCTCTCACACCGAATGTTTTGGGAGAAACCGAGTAAGGCGCAAAGATTAGGCTACATGCATGACTACCTCCGAGGACTTCAGAGTAGTTAGGCACGCCCTCCTGGAGATTCCGGACGTGTTCACGCCAAACAATGCCTATATAAAGGCCTTACCTCCAACTCCAGGGGGGAGATGCACAATTTAGTTCTCGCAGCTCTTCAGCTCTCTCACATTTAGCTATCTTAAAATCTCTGATTCGCTAACTTAAGCATCGGAGTGCCCACCCCGGGTAAAGCAACCCGGGCACTCTGACACTGTGTCCTTGCAGGTCGCATCAGAGCCACTTCTCTAGTTCGTCACCACTCAGCTAGACATCAAAGCCACCTCTCCAGCTCGTCACCATTCAGTTAGGCATTAGAGCCACCTCTCCAGCTCGTCACCATTCAGCTAGGCGACCAAGCCACCTTCCAGGTAGGAACCATTCAGTTAGGTATCCAAGCCACATTCCAGGTAGGGATTATTCAGCCAGGCATCCGAGTCACCTGCCAGCCAGGAGCTACCGAAATGCATGTCATCAGAAGTGTAAGAACATATGAGTGGGGAAGGGGGGACAGACAATAAGAATACCATCTGCACTGGTGCTCATTGCTGGTAATGTTCATATTGCCAAGCCTTCCAACAAAAAATTCTGATTTTGGAATGAGTAGTTCCTAACCAAACAGTTTGAATACGAAACTCCATAGGTGCTGGAGGAGCAAGAGATGAAAGAAAGATGCATAAAAAATCTCATGAAAAATCAATAAAATATACTCTTCAATCCTGACCCAAAAAGAGAAGAAAAGCACAGAAGGACAGTCTGGAATGTTAATGGCATCTTGCACTTCTTGATCTCTTAAACCCCTAGAAAATGTAAGGTAACACTAAATCAAACCAAGTAATACAAGAAGCATTGGGACATATTTAAACTGGGATAATGCATGCAGAGTAGGAACGTAAATGCTAACATGGATATTTTTATCAGCAATGCTAACATGGAATGATGCCACCGGAGGTCCTATAATTTTATGTTAGATTTTCATAGAGGATCATATCTAACTAATCTCAACAAATATTGAAGTACAGAATATATATCTCTCCAAGGAAAAATCCAATGTAGCCCTCCTATTCAAACATACAATTTATTCATTACCCAAAGTACCAATGAATGATTTGGATGAATACCAATGCATATATTTTCTCTATCCATTTCTCCTTTTTCCCTTTTCCGGAATTTCCCTTTTTAACATTCTATATGGATAATATCAATATTTGATACTTTAATGGGAAAATGAAATTAATAAGAACACCTTCCAAATACTATAACCGTTTTGAAGGGGTAATATTACACTAATTACTGATGCCATTTAGTTCAACATATATCACAACACAGAAAATTAGTAACATGACAATTTAAATTCTGTCTTAATAACTTTTTGTTCTCAAAGTTGTTTCAGATGAATTTAGTCATATGCTTCCAAATGTAAAACTGAAACAACTGAATTTTGTTAAAATTTTCATCCATATGGCTATTTATGGGTTCAAATTTCTTTATTTTTTAATGTCATTACATTCTTTCCAGTGTAAAATTTGAACTAAGCTAACTTTATACAGATGCTAATTTGTATGAATCTGAGTTGTGATTTTTCTGAGTATTAATGTTTTCTTGTTCTTGATCATCTAATATATAACATTCAGTAATCTTCTACAAGACTAATACATGTAAAGGAGCTGCCATGTTCTGTAACTATTGTGGAGATAAATGTCAATCTTCATATCTGGTTATAACATGGCAATGTTTTCTATAATATCATTTTATGTTATTCAGTGTAACTCAATAAAATATCATTTGTGCAGAAGCAGTTAAAACACCGAAGACCAAGGCTTATTGTAAGTCTTCTGTATCTAAATTTTGAATCAATGATAAATGAAGCAATACATGGTCATCAAAAAAGCTGGTTGTGCTGTAGGAAAAAATTGAATTGAAGGAGTTTTCATTAGGTTTACTTCCACCCAGCTTTGGATTGCATGGGACTCATTGGTCAACTTCAGGTGACGAGGTTTGCTTTCTGATTTACCTTTGAAATTTAGTGACTTTTTGATATTTCACTAAAAATGATTGATTTTACATGGTGGCTATTGATAATGTCCTGATTCAAGAACGTTCACATCTGTCTTAATCTTGTTTTATATATATCGTTATGTTACTCTATTAATGTATTATAGATATTGTTACTGGTATCAGTGGTTTATATTGTTTAGTGTGAATATCACTATGCATATGCTTTTCTAGTACCTGATATAAACATGCCTATTAGGACAGCATATGATGCTACTAATTTTGTTCCATTGAATTAGAGGTTCAGTTTTGGTGTGTAGTTGGTCCTTTTATATGTTTGATTTCATTAAAATTTCCCTTAGAAAAGAATTCGAGTTAATTGATATGTGGTTCTTATGAAGAGGTTCATCTATATCTCATGATGGAAATGAAGGATTTGCTCTTATCTTGGTTTATGCAAGATTCCTCTATCCACACTTGTGTGGTTATAACCAAAACATTGAAGAATTTCGCTCCTCTTGGTTTAGAATCACATCAAATAGATATTCGACCAGAATTTTGCTTTCATTTGATGTTATAGTTTGCTGGATTGGAAAATTAAATAAATTCATTAGCCTTAGGTATTGACTTGATTACATTGTCACTGCGATTAGAGTGTTGTATCTCTTTTTCTTTTTTTTTTTTTTTTTTTTTTAGTTTAAACATAGAATAAAAAATCAAAACATATGTCAAGAAAGCTGGGTAAGTATAATCATGTCTAAGGATTCATCATCATCATCATCATCAGACAACGCAAATTAAGTGGAAAGTTTTGTACACGTAAAATGAACATGTGTATGCAATTTTTTGTATGTAGTAACTTACCAATAATGTGCCACTTCAATAAACCTTAAGGTCCTTAACAAATTTTATGTTACTGTATTGGAGTATTGAATTTGTATGCTGAAGAGTTGTTTTAGTAAAGAAATATGTAATCAGAGGCTTTAATATAATATCAGCCCCATTAGGAGTTTCTCTTGTAATTTTGGATAACTCTAATATTATACAAGAGTATCCTTCATTAAAGAGAGATTGGTTTGTGATATTTTTAGTTCTTTTGTGTTATTTATGTTAAAGTCTTTGGTAGAGTGTTCCTCATATTGTTACATTTTTTGTTGGTAATTGTTAAATTGGTAGTATATCACTATTACTGGGGAATTTCCTGAAAGGTCAACTTAGTGATTGGTCATGTCTTGGGTAAGAGCCATGAGCCACCATGAGTACCATCTAATTAATTGAAGACTTATTTTGCCATGGGTAAGAGCCAAAAGTGCTGCTGTGAGTTCAATCAAGTTAATTGAATACTTGTAGGATTGGTGCAAAAAGCTAGTTATTGCTATACTGGAATCTTCAAGTTTCCTTGCTCGGGAGAAGCTCGAGTATTACTACTAAGATATCATTATTTATGTCCAGGTAAGCTAGCCAATGCTAGCTTGATGGGGAGTATTGGAGTATTCAATTCATGAGTAAAGACTATTTTAGGAAGAAAATAGTCAGGGACTTTAGTGTAATATAAGCTCTAATGGTGGCTTTCTTTTAAATTTTGGATAGTTTTAGTATTAGATTGGAATGTGATATTGTTAAACCAACGATCTCTATTCTTTTCTTCTTTCTCCTTTCTCATTATTCGCAACAAGACATTGAAATCATCCTTCTCATTTTTCTTTTTTTTCTTGTTAATGAAGAATACAATAAAGCAAAAAAGCTTAAATAGAGATAAATAGAAAAGATGTTTTTTTTTTCTTTAGGAAAAAGAATAATATGTATAATAATGTACAAAATTGTGAATGAACAGAAAAAAAAACTATTACATGTACATGTTATCAATGGTGAAAAATACATTTTGATTTTCTTTGTTTGTGTGATTAGATGTTGAGTTGCTATTCAATTTGATATTCCAATTAATTGTAGTTCCTTTCTTCTGTTCATTTTAGTCTTCTGGTATAGTGATTATTTCATTTGTTGGAGCAATCAGTATCATAAAAGAGAACATACAAATTCTAGATCATGAGCATGTATTTGTTTGTATATGTTAACAGAAAATTATGCATATGAGCTTTGACTGGGATACAAGTGACATGAACATCGTGATGCTTGCTAAGTTGGCAAGGCCATTTCTTGGAACTACCCGAATTGTTGTAAACAGCATGCATATCAAGGGAGATGTATGTAAAGTATCTTTACTTATCTTCTACACTTTATTCTCTCATACAAAAATTTTTGTTTTGGAGAAGGGGACAATAAATACATGTTTCAAAGAAAATAATGAAAAATAGTTTATGATTTTGAATTTGTTCTTTCATGTAAGTGCATGGAATGAAATCCTTGAAACTTTGTTTCTAAGTTCTTATAGAATTCCTGCGGATCATTTAGGCTTTAATTACAGAGTTCAATTAGTCAAACAGTGAATTTTAATCTTTATAACTGTTTATTTCTTATCCTATACAGCTTCTCTTGATGCCAGTGCTGGATGGAAAAGCGGTTTTGTATTCATTTGAATCAACTCCTGAGGTGAGAATTGGTGTTGCCTTTGGAGGCAGTGGGAACCAAAGACTTTCAGGGACAGAACTTCCAGGTGTTTCATCTTGGCTGGTGTGTTTCTCCACTAGTATGCATTCATGAAAAATCTCAGAAAAAAATTGTGTGATATCACTTGTGTCATAAATGATGTGTCTTCTGTATAACATTCTAACATTTCTTGCACCTGTGGATAGGTTACTGTTCGTTAAGTAATAAGCTTCTTTTCACACAGGTTAATCTTTTTACCAAAATGTTAGTCAAGACAATGGTTGAGCCTCGCCGAAGATGTTATTCTTTACCATCAGTAGATTTGTGGAAAAGGGCTGTTGGAGGTTTACTTTCAGTAACAATTGTTTCAGTGAATAAACTGGTGGGAAATAACATAAAAGCAAGCACTTCCAGAAGCAAACAGAACTCTATGAGAAATGGTAATTTAGAAGAGAACCCTGATAACAAGGTTCTGCAAACATTTGTAGAGGTTGAACTTGAGCAATTAATCAGGAGAACAGATAAGAGTCCAGGTTCATGCCCTAGATGGGATGCAACATTTAACATGGTTTTACATGAAGATTCAGGAACTCTTAGGTTCCTTCTTTATGAATGTACCCCAAGGAGTTTGAAGTATGATTATCTAAGCAGCTGCGAAATTAAGGTACTTTAACTGGAGGTACTAATCTTCTTCAAGACTAGTGCCTAGGGTTGTGATTAATTTGGGGGCAACTCTGCCTGGAAAAAAAATATTTATTGTCTTTTCTTGGAATATATCATTCAGATGCCAACAAAGTTGACAGTTCTCCATACTGTGAGCAGATGAAATATGTTGCTGATGACTCAACGATATTCTGGGCAATAGGATCCGGAACCAGTGTATTAGCTAGACATGTTGAGAGCTGCGGGAAAGAAGTTGAAATGGTCCTTCCATTTGAGGGACCTAACATAGGAGAGGTGAGGTCTTCACATATCTTATAACCATTTATTTCTTATTCAATTACACTACACTTCTGCATTTCTTTCTTTTCTTCTCCATGCTCATTTGGTATAAACTAGTATCCAAGATGCATTATGAATTCCATCTTTTTAACATAAAAAGTTCCTAAATATAAAAGAAGTATGTCAACATTTACTACTGTGGATATATGATTGCTCTTTACCAGAAAATGTTATATAAATGTAGGAGTTCACAAGATATCTTATCCATTAGATGCTCATACTCTTTTTCATGAGCCCCCGAGTTCATGGCTTTTCATCTTGTCGAGTAGACTTCTCAACTTCACAACCAATTCTGATTGCCATATCCCTTTCCATGCAATTCCGATTGTCAACATTACAAATGGCATGCTTGAACTGCATAAGATTTTATGCTATGAAAAAAGAGGTGCTTTATGTCCTTTCTATCACATGGTTGAATATCAGAATAGGTACCAGAGTTGATAGTGGTTAGTGTAACATAGATTTGGTATTTCCTTGCATTGACTGTGTATGTATGTTTTAGAAAGCAGCGCACTGTAACCTCCATTAATAGATAATGATAAGGGATACTTGTTATTGGGTTTTCCTGACAACTGCCTTCCCTGTGATACTCATTGATTTTCATCACTATAAAATCACGTTTCTGGATTTCACTAACAAAAGAAATTTGTTTTGCAGTTAACGGTGAAGCTAATGTTGAAGGAATGGCAGTTTTCTAATGGTTCAAATATTTTGAACAACTCTCTCCATGCTAGCTCTCGAGAATCTTTATGTGGCTCATCAGGCATTCAATCAAGGACAGGAAGGAAGCTAAATATCATTGTTGTAGAAGGAAATAATTTGATTGGGAAAGATAAGTCTGGAAAATGTAGCCCTTATGTAAAACTCCAATATGGGAAGGTCATTCTCTTCATTCTCCTTCATAGTAAACATCTTTTGCTCGATTTGACCATTTTAGTATGCTACATATAAGAGTCCAGAAAATTTTATCGATGTCATCAGAACACATTTGAGCAGTATGTGGTGTCAGTTCAGACCTTTTATAGACAACTGATAATTCTGTTTACTTTTGTTCCCAGGTCTTCCATAGAACAAGGACAATCCATCATCCCATGAATCCTATCTGGAATCATAAGTTTGAATTTGATGAAATAGGAAATGGTGAATATCTCAAGATAAAATGCTATTCTGAAGGCCCCTTTGGATATGACAACATTGGAACTGCACGTGTAAATTTAGAAGGACTAGTTGAAGGCTCTTTGAGGGATGTATGGATCCCTCTTGAAAAAGCGAAATCTGGAGAATTGAGGCTACAAATAGAAGCAGTGAGAAATGATGACTATGACAGATCAAGGGTATGCTTTCCATTCAAGAACTTATCCATGAAACTAATTGGAAAAAAAAAAAAGAAAAACATAGATAAATAGTCAAAGGACTGGAAAGAAACAAGACTTCATAAGCAATTGGCTTGCAGTTAATCATTAGATATGTCATCCTGAAATCCATGATTTGTCCTCATGCTTATATTTCATACTACAATCATTTCTCCTTGGCTTTTCTTGTTTCACCCTGCAACTTCTTTTTAGGGAATAGAATTAGCATTTGATGCCTATCTCACTCTTCCAAGATCTTTGCAGAGTGTAATGGCAGGGTTAGGAAATGGTTGGATTGAACTAGTTCTAATTGAAGCAAGAGACCTCATTGCTGCTGATTTGAGGGGAACAAGTGATCCATATGTGAAGATACAATATGGAAGCTTGAAGAAAAGAACAAAGGTTAGATGCATTCATTTATGTTTTAGTTATTTTTATTCCATAATTCATTATGTTTCACAAACACATTTGTTCTAGATTACCATTGGTAAACATCGTCTTGAATGTATAAGTAAACATGTACACATGTATGTATCTATTCTGTTTCCACTTTTCCACTTATCTTCTTTTTTTCTCAAATAATGGTTAATAAGCCAATATGGAAGATGCTGAGATGGAAAGTATTATGCAATTGCTCTCATAGTAACTTGAAACTACAATGACCATCAGAATTTAGTAGGTTCTGTGGATCTTTTCGTCGCATCTTCTCTCTTTCCAATTTACTCTTACCATAATCTTCCTTCTTGTACCATGCTATGCAGGTTATTTATAAAACACTGAGTCCTCAATGGAATCAGACCCTAAAGTTCCCCGACGATGGTAGTCCCTTAGTTTTGCATGTGAAAGATCATAATACTGTCCTGCCAAGATCAAGTATAGGTGATTGTGTTGTAGAATATCAAGGATTGCCTCCAAACCAGATGGCCGACAAGTGGATACCTCTCCAGGGAGTAAAGAGGGGAGAGATCCATATACAAATAACAAGAAGGATTCCAGAACTACAGAAAAAGTCCAGTTTGGATTCCGAGAATCCAAGCTTAAGTAGAGCATATCAAATTTCTGCCCAGGTGAATAACGTACCTTTCAATTTTCAGAAATTCCTTTTTTTAGTTTGGGTCAAATCATTTTAACCATAAAAAAGCACCTGCAAAAGGACAGGGTCTTTTTCTAAGTGTTATATTGGTGGATTTGTAAGAGAAATCAAAACTTCAAGCACAAAAATAAATAAAACAGAAAATTAGAGCTTCATCTTGAATTAAGCTAGAGTATATTAATAACATGAACATGCAAGTTGAGTTGAAACTTGAAAGGTATAGCATTGATGAAACATTTTATAGCCTACCTAGGAGACCTCCTAAATTGCTGATATGATCCTATTTCTTGTTTTTTTAGGGGGTTGATTTTTTTCAAAATGTTCTATCCCATTACCATGCATGCACATAATGTATATTATAGGATATCTACATCTAGACTTGGTATCTGGCCCACAAGTCTACTCGGATGAATTAGTAGTTTACATTCATCATCCATTAGTGATTTGAGTCTGTCATCTGTGTCATCTATCTTTTGCAGTAATGATACCTACTTGCCAAGAGATTAATTTTTTTGTAATGCATTTTCCTGTTATAAACAGATAAGGCAAACAATGGCCAAGGTACAAGCCTTGCTTAAGGAGGGGGACCTTGAACGACTCTCACTGGCATTGTGTGAGGTTGAAAACCTTGAAGACGTGAAGCATGAGTACATGTTACAGCTTGAGACAGAGAAGACTCTGTTGCTTAATAAGATAAATGAGTTTGGTCGGGAAATATACAAATGTTCACCTTCCCTAACTAGGAAAATGTATGGCAGCTGAGTGTTTTTGGCCGACATATATACCTAATGTTCATTTATATTCTATCTGTATGCCACAAATTTGTTAAATTGCAGCCTTAAATGATGGTTCCTTGATATGTACATTCTCATTTGAGGTATTAATACATTCAGTAATACTTTCCTACAGTAATATGTGGTTCTGCCATATTACATTTTCAGTAATACACCCCTGCCTAGGTGCCAACTGGTTGATTGATAACGTCTCCGGCTGGTTGTAGAAAGATACTTGGGAATTGGTCAAATCCCACAGCCAGCATTAGGGTTTGGGAATTCAGATTAGCTGAATGCTTTAACTGTTCATCTGTGAAACTAATAATAATGCTTTATGCCAGTGATAAAATACATGGGACCCACACTGAGAGGTTGAATGGTTGTGGATCCCGTGTATTTTATGACTAGTGTGGATCGCTATTATTGGTTCCACAGCCTGTTAAACAGCTAAAGCATTCAGCTAATCCTATCTCGAGTTTGGGGGATAGATTACCCCTGCTGTGTAGCTCCATGAAAAGATTTCTTGCAATGGGTGACAAGATTTTTTGCAAGCAAAAACTCTGTAAACACCCTAAAAGCAGGGAAAACCTGTTGCACATCATTGGGAACATCTACCCATAAATTTAATATTAATGTATGGAGATATTCCCAATGTGTGAATAGATGCTACATGGGCAGAGTTTTTACTTGTAGGAGCTCTGGACTCGTGACATAGAAGACAATGTCCCAAATTGAGCCTCATCTCCTACAAGCAAAAATAAAGAACAATGTCCCAATTTGAGCCACATCTCCTACAAGCAAAAACTCTGCAAGTACGACATTCATGGGAGATGTTCCCAATGTGGGGCTGGATGCCATATTTGCAGAGTTTTTTGTGCCATCCCAATTTCGAAATACTTGTTCCAACTAGTTGAGTCTTCGAGTGGCAGGTCACAGGTGAGTGTAACTCGGGTTGGCCGAGTTTGCATTTTACACTACGTTGGGTTCAGGCCTTGGGACCGGGTCTATCGAAATTTTTTGACAAAAGCAAGGAAAATAAATGGACCATGGTTTTTGGACGGTGATTTGACGTTTGATAAAGTGGGAACGTGTAAAAAAGAGACAAGGATAGATCATAGAATATTCCCTTAAATCTTCACAGGAAAACCGTTCCTACCTGTCAGCCACGTGGCGCCCAACGTTTTGTGTCTATTATAAAAACGGAAAAGTACGGACAGGTCTAAATGCCTAATACAATTTCTGATTTTCAGTGCATAGTTATAAACATTCAGAAGTTAAAAAACCACACTTATACTCGTCCGTGAATTAGCATCAATTTCGCGTTGACACCCACCTCAAATGTAAGAGTCTATAAATTCTGATCCTAGGTTATCGGCCATTTAAGAACGAGCTTCAATACATGAGAGGCTCCGGTGTACCACGTGGCTATTAATTTAGGCACGTTGGCCCACGTCTGACTCACCCGCGGCCGCGGACGACCCAGCGATCATGACTTTTGGCTTTTGCTTTTGGATTAGGAGTTAGACTTTAGGATATCGACAGTTACTACGATATACACTTGGGCGTTGGCACAAGAGGGCGTTTTCGTAATTCCAAACAAAATCAAAATCATGGAATGCCGCACATGGAAAAGATACACAGACCCAGTAGCCGTAAAGGTTGTCTGTCTGATCTGAATCTCCAACTATTATGAGTGGAGTTGTGGAAGCGTGAAAGGGCGGCCCAAGTGTCCTTTGACTTTCCTCAGTTCTCGGTCATGGAGCTCTCTCTCAGCCTCTACCAATCGTCTAGCCTATCTCTGTTTCGCCGGAACTCCGATCATTTGATCGGAGCTACAAGAATTCGTCAAATGCCCATTTTTCTACGACGACCAATGAGTGGACAATCAACGGTTTTGGCTCCGATCGTTGCGAAGAAGAAATCAGAGATCGAAGGCTTGAGTGAGGAGATGAACTCAATTGCCTCACAGAACTTGGACTTCGCACCTGCTCGTCGTTGGGTTCGATCAGCTTTTAGCGATGTGCAACAGAAGCTCGACCACGTCTTATTCAAGGTGGGTTTATCTGATCGCAGTCTCTGAAGTGTTTGATTGTGGGCAGCTTTTGTTTTGCGTCTTGATCCTAGACATCTGACCTAATGCTTGTAAAGTGTCGGATTTTGTTAGATTTTTCCTTGTGTTGAACTGACAAATGTTATAAATTAACTTTTTATGAACTGGCGGGTAGACGGCTCCACCTGGGATCAGAACAGAGGAGGTGAGAATGCTAACTTATACGACTAGCATACGGTAATTGTCTTAAACTGTAACACCTTCGAATGCTACATTTTCAATTGAGATGGTTGTTTTGTGCTGGTATAGTGGTATGAGCAGAACTCAAGGGGCTTGGAGATTTTTTGCAAGAGCTGGTTGCCGAAAGAGGGTGTTCCAATTAAGGGTGATATTTGTTTTTGCCATGGATATGGTGACACTTGCACATTCTTCTTCGAGGGTTCGTGATTTTCTCTGTTTTTGGCGATCAGAACTTTAGAAATTTTGAAATGAAACTTGCCTTGTGATTCGTAAGGAAACAACTGGAGTTTTGTATGTGATTCGTGAGGAATTTAGAGTTTCAGGGATTGCAAAGAGAATTGCTGCTTCTGGGTATGGAGTTTATGCAATGGATTACCCGGGCTTTGGCCTCTCTGAAGGATTGCATGGTTATATTGCAAATTTTGATGAGTTGGTCGATGACGTTATTGAACAGTACAGAAACATCAAAGGTATGCTAACCAAGCTACTGAACATTTCTCATCATTACTCATCTTAATTATCCTCTTGTTGTTGCTTTCATGGATGTCAGTATTGTTGAACTATTTTGATGGTTAAACTTCAGTCACTGAAGATTAATATTGATTTTAATCATTTTATTTTATTCTGCAACTGGCAGGAAGGCCGGAATTGAATGGGTTGCCTCGCTTCATTTTGGGACAGTCCATGGGTGGAGCTGTTACTCTCAAGGTTCATCTGAAGCAACCAGATGAATGGGATGGAATTGTTCTTGTTGCGCCAATGTGCAAAGTAAGCCCCTTAGTGCTACTATTACATGCTTCATCAAAAGCTACAAGAAAATCCTTTCAAGTTATTCCGCCTTTATTAGTTTATGGGTGAAATTGGGTTTTGATAAGTGTACGCCAGCCATTTTGCTAATTATTTCTACATTCATCAATGCCTATACACTTACAAGGGATTATTTTTTTCCCCTTAGCATGATAGAAGTTACGGATTTTAGGCATTAACCCTTCTATTTGTAATTAACCAAGGAAATGCACTTATGGAAAATTTAAGGATATTTGAAATGACAGATAACATGAGATGGTTTAATTTGAAGCATTCTAAGCAGATTTTCCATAAAGGACGAAAAATCCACTTGATGAACAGTCAAACTTCCAAAAAGTAGGGCTTTAGATGGAGTTTTGAGATGAAATTTGGTAAGATAAAAGGTGATGACGAATTATAGGGGCTTCCAAATAAGAGAGCAATAGGAGATGGTTTCGCTCAAGAGGATAAAAATGGCTGCAACAGGGAAATTTTGTTTTTTTATGTAAAATAAATAAAAAAAAATACTCAGATCAGTTTTAACCATTTAGAAATGTTAAACAAACTCCTTTGATGAACTTCCAAGCTGTTAATAGTCACTGATGTAACCGTTTCTGGTCACGTACCAATTTTTGTGATGTATCAATTTTTTTTTGGCTAAGTACCTCGTCATTTGACCTGCTCCCAGGTGGCCTGTGACTCAGAGGATGATGGAGCTCCCTGGTGG